TTTTCATTAACAACAGATTAACCAGTTCTTTCATGCTGTAGTTGATTCTTATCAAACTCCACTTAGAGATAAGTACATTTTATTGATTAAAAACAAATCAAAGATAAACTCATTCCTACTCAAACAATGCCTGAAGTGCAAACTAATAAGGGCCAAGCCTTGCGATTTTCAGCACCATCCTGCAAGGATCCAAAATCATTTTGCAATCAAGAATGAATCAAAATCATTCAGTTTACAGGTGGAAAATCAAGGTAGAAAATGTATGTAGCTTTTCCAATTCATTTTAGACCCTGGGAGTTCCTATACACGTATTATGTCTGTTGGGAGAACGAATAATCGCAGGCTGCCGTCACCTCCCAGAGCTGTAGCCATCATAACTCTACGGACAGGAAACAGTCAGAGAAGTTGCTGGTATAGAAAAGATACTTAGGTAGCAGTACCAGAAATGTGAACTCGGCTTATTAGTAACTGGAATTTAAGGCATCTGTAGGATCAAGAAAGCTTCAATGAATTTCCAAAATCCCCCTACTGAAGACCATTCAGTTCCCTCTCACCCTCTTCTCGTGGACAGTTTTATGAGGTCAGAATGGAGCAAACCTAACCATCTTGTTTGTCACACTAATTTAAGAAACCCTAGAACTAAGAAGGAAGCTAAGTAAAGAAAGATGTCAGGATTCATTTGTTACAATTTCCAACTGGTAAATAACTTCAGTTATTTCTTTCCCCAAAATAAAACACAGAATGTCGTTCTGCAAAGGGAACCGGACAGCACCAACTTCCCAACCCATGCAAAGCCAGATGCGTGAGAATTAAAGGTGAAGCACAGGACGATTGGTGTGAAATCCTCAGTGCTGAATTGGTGTCCTTGACTTAAGCCTTTATAGCCACCCAGGCAGAGCACAGGGGCAGAGATGCCCAAGCTCGCTACTGGACTGGAGCAATTTGGAGCTTCCTGCAGCTTCTGCCTCATTTTGGGTGCTTGAGCGTTTTGCAAAACCCATCCTGATCCCTGGGGCTGGATCAGTGGTAGTGGACTCAGTCGACTGGGAACCTTGGAGATCCAAGGAATAGAAATTTAGCAAGGCATTTTACAGCCTGTACTAATCAGGCAACCTTCTCAGACCAGCTAAAACAAGAATATTCCTGATTCATTTTTGATATACAGATATGTTGATATGTACCTACCTACACAGACACTACCTAATTATATTTACATGAAGATCCCAAAAGAAAAAATAAAATACTATCAAGAAAATGTGAAGGTGGACTACATACAACCCAAGCTCACCAAACCCCCAGAGGGACTTGAAGGCGAGCTGGGCCACCCTCCCATTTGACACACTTGAACCCTTTATGTCTCAAAGCACATGAAAGGTGAGATCAGAAGAAACATCTCAAGATCATCATGAAAACTTGCATCATAGGCTCCTTCTTTCCATTAGCATAGATATTCAGAGTGCACCAAAAAATAATCTTGCATCATTAGAAAGTCCTGTGCTTGAACTACTTAACCAATCTCTAACTGTGGTGTGCTTTAAGGTTTTGCTTTCAAATAATAGAAATCTACATGCTCTTATCAAAATGTCATTAAATAGTAAACAATTACTATTGATTCTACTAATGCTTTCCAGAACCCAAATAATAGCAGCCACCATGTTTCTACCTTTCTTTGTGTTACTGCATTTTCTAACAATAAAACAGTTGCTTTCTAACACTTCAAGACTGTATTTAAATGAAAAGAAAACTACAGAAAGCTAGAGAAAGGGGCTTATCACAGTAACTTTGTTTTTCTTTCTCAGTGCCAGCTAAAATCTACAGATATTTGTATTCTATCTCTGTAACCTGCATTAACATATTGGACATGGCTATAACTCTGCACATGAAGAACATGAATAATCATATATACCTCTGGTCCCAGGTGTGCAGTAAAATCCAGTGTTACAGGAGGTGCATTCAGTCAGTTAACCATTATGAGCATTTTTAATTATCTTTAAATCAACAATTATTCATATAAGGTCCTCCAAACAATCTTTTTTTAATAAAAAACCTAATTTACTACTCACAAATTAAATAGGATGTGATAAAATTAGTTGCATCTTTTTAAATGAGATTTTGCAACCAAGGTCAAGGACAGTAAACATCTACTTGAAGTTCTAAAAGCCATTGCTTTCAGGTTATGAAGTATTCTCTAATTTTTTTGCCTTAAGGAAATGAAGAATTGCTTCCATTGTGTGATGGAAGAACAGGCTTAAGGAAAATATGGCACATCAGACTTCAGTGGATAATCAAACACAAATCACTCATAGATGACGTTTTTGACAGGAGTTTGTTCAATTAAAGAAAGACAAGTTTTTACACAAATCTAATCACGGTGATAAATTTTCAGAACCTGTAGTACTGTCAGGAAGTGTGTGTGCCAGTGCTAGGAAATGGCTTGACTGCTGATATTCCTCAGCAACCTGCAAGCCAAATGGGGGCCTCTAACATTAAAGGCTAAGGCAAACGCAGTCATACCACTCCAATAGTGCCACCTGCTGCGGATTTTGAAAGTGTACAGTGGTCTGCAGATCAAAGTAGTTCAGTTTAAAAAAGACTGATCGATTGACTGATTAATCAGAAGTCATAATTTTGTGTGTATGTATGACAATACGAAAATTTAATTTTTTTTTTTAATTAGTAATACCGAAACAGGCTAGGGTACAAAGGAAGTTGTTCCACTATGGCATAAGAATAGAATCCACAGGTAATCCATTTCCAAGTTTATGTCAGTGGGAGAACAAGGATTAGTTACATCAGCTCACTACACATCAAAACCACAATTAACCCCATGTACTTTGTGATATCATGTAGATTAAACCTGCAACTCATTCACAACACACACATATGTATATGGGGAGGGTGTATACAGAAAGAGACAGACACACATGCCCCTACAGCAAATTGTCCATACACAAACACATACATACACAAACATATACACATATACAAACCCCTTGAGACTGAACCAAGATGCCTGTTCACAAGCTTTCCCTGAAAAGGAAACAAACTGCAGTGTGTATGGGATTGGCTCAGCAACACAAAAGCTGATCCTGTTCCAGGTTCCAAGGATCTGCTCTACCACCTGGACTCATTCACTGCGTTTCACAGGGCATCTGGTTTCTCCTGCTGGTTTCTGGTTTTGCTGCTTACCCATGCAACTGTCCGGGAAGAGACTGCCTTGTGTAATGAGTTTGCCAAGCATGATGGCTTTTCCATGATCCAGAGTGAATGGCATAGTACAATTAATTAATAATAATTTTTGATCAGACACAAACTCATTATACTTCAAATGCTCTTCTAATGAGAAGTGTACATCTTTTAAAACAGAGCCTGCATTTCACGTTCAAGGATGCTATCCTGGGAATTCTTTCTGCAACACACAGTCAGGTTGCACAACTCACTTTCACAGGAGGTCAGTGAGTCAAATAGTGTGAGTGGAATTTTAAAAAGGTTGAGTAACTTTTATGACCATTAATAATGTTTGTATTGAATGCCAGCTCAAACTGTAATGGGGTTAATTAAATCTCCTGCCCCAATGTATAAACCAACTGCCTGAAGGTCCAAAGGAGGACTCCATGTGCCAACAACTCTGAACACGGAACAAATAAGGCAACTGAGGTATTCCTTTCTGCAGAACACTAGGGGGTTGTCACTGCTGAAGGCAGAATATCATAGTATATCTAACCAAAGCCAGGCTACGTCAGAACAACTCTAACATGACGCTTGCTTTTTCCAAAGTCAAGAGAGAAACTAACTTGAAGAGTATCTAAAGTGTCTGATAAAGTATTGTGTTTACTATTCTTTGCTTGGCTAAGGCAGAAAAAGACTGCAGCTGAGGTAGGCAACACAGTTTGCAAGACACAAGCATACTGGGAAGGCAAAAGCAATTATTAATAAGTGAATTACAGCAGACTTAGACGTGAGCCTGCTGTGCACTTACCAGAACGCTGTGCACTGCATAACTTGCACTGTCACCTATGTATGCACAGCTTCCAAAGGACTTCCCAACATCTGCAGGATTTGAACCTGATTCACTAAGTCATCCATGATGCAAATCATCACATCATTTCTGCCAGTAACTGGAAAAATACAGTGCACCAACATTCTTTCCACATGCTGCCCTTTCACACAGTTTTTATGCAATGTTTTTCACTGCAAGGAACATAATAAATGCAGAATTACATTAAAGCTACTGTTTAACTGCATTATTTTCTCACATACTATTCTCTTGGGCCCTTCCAACAGTGTCGGATGGACCTATTTCAGGGACAGAAAGTTGCAGTTCATAGTCCAGACATAATCTTGTACTTTATTTGATATGATCAAGAGCCATGAATTTTTAAAATTTTTGCCTATTATTAGGCAATACCGTGACATGCATGGTAAGTTTTAAAATGTGGCTTTCCATGCATTTGAAGAGTTTGTTCAGCTCTCAGTAAGGAAATGACTACTTCTATAGTTCATTTCACTTTATAGGAAGGCAGAAAAACTGAGTCAGAGAAAGGCATTGCTATCTCCTGCCTCTCAATTCCAAGTGCCATCGGCACATACTGTTTTGACTCCGCACCCGGGTCTGAATACTTGTAACACGTTCTGAAAAGGGAGCAATAAGCACAGCAGAGTTAATGAAGGGAGAGTGGAGGGGAAAAGATGCAAAACACATGGAAAGAAACCTGAAGAAAGATTTCCCTGGTGGAACCTGGGGAGGTCACCATGACAGCATCCCTTTAAGAATTAACATTACTACATATACCAGTATTACCCAGCCCTTTATGCACCTGACTCTGTTCAAGGAGGTTTTGTATTTCACTGTTTTTTTTGGCAAAGCTTCACATGCTCACAGCCTTAGGTCAACATTAAATCCAACTATCCAGTTATAATCACTGCAGTAGCTCCAGATGCACCGCCTGAAAACAAGCTGACTTAAATCCACAACTTCAGAGGAGACCATGCAACTTCCAAGAGAATTCACTGTACTTGGAAGAAAGTTACTTTTTCATTTAGGAAGATTTCAGATGCTTCATACTTGATTTGCTTTTTTTGCCAGCGCAATGAAGGAAATGTCCTGCTTCTGCGTGACTTTTTCTTCCTTGTTGGAACAGATGGTGAAAGCTTACAAATACATGACTGGTATTTTTTCAGTGACTCATACCTCAGAGCAACAGGCTTCAGATCGTGATAAGCAGCCAACCAAGATGGATGTGAGCTTACTTGAGAAGCAGTATGACCATATAAAACAGAAGCAAAAACTGCAGTCACACATTATTGTATTTAAAACAGGTATGCTTATATTTATAGGAATCTATGCAAGTGTAGATGTGAAGACTGTTGCTTTAAATCTTGACTAACTCCTACCTTTGTTCTTTTTGTGTTCAGCTTCAAGAGAGGTTCAAAGTGAATTCATTTTCTGTCATTTTGGGGTTTTTTTGTTTCACTGAAAGGTGGTCTTATGTTTATATCAATTAGCTTCACGGCAGTGAAACAGTAACACAACTTGGAAACAGATGAACGTATCTGAGATAAGGTTTTACAGGTTTTATGTCATAAAGTAAAATTCTAAGTCTAAATGGTGACTCTTACAGGAGCCATGTACTTCATCTCCATCATCAGTGTATTTGTGCAATGTATTCTATAACATTTCTGCTCTCTTGAATGCTTCCATCAGAACAAGCAATTCCTGGTCTCCTCTCTCCTTCTCTCTTTTTTATCTGTGTAAAGAAATGTGTCCTGCAAGACTACAGGAAGCAATAGCAAATGTCAAATACCACAAGGTTGGGTTTTATTACAAAATGACTTATACAAAGAGTCATAGTGGGTAACTAAGACACAAGCTTTGAACAAGAGGTCCTGTTTGAAAGTGTTTTCACTGCATATTGCTTGGAAAGTACATAAATAGGAAAACAAGTAACAATATGTATCACTCCTCTACCTGCTCTGTCAGCTAAATTTCACGTAAGAAGTCTAGATGTCTAAGATTCATATAAATGTCTAGAAATTCTTATGTTAAAAGAATTTAAATCTCTGTGAGGAAGAAAAATATATGTATACAAAAGCTTATTTTATCATGTATGAAAAGGCAACTAACTTGAAGACAATACAGCCCATCTAATCAGCTATAGCAGAACTGTAAAAGCAGAAGTCTGTATTCAGATTAAATTCAAATTAAGCTTCAGACATAATGAATGTAATCAGAGCAGAATTTTTGCAAGGACACCATCTGAAGATTAAAGAAAGAGATCTGAGGATTAGAGGAGGGCCACAAGGATCAGCAGAGGGCTGGAGCACCTCCCCTATGATGAATGGCTGAGAGAATTGGGCTTGTTCAGCCTGGAGAAGAGGAGGCTCCGGGGAGACCTCATTGCAGCTTTCCAGTATCTGAAGGGGACTACAAAGAAGCCAGGGGAGGGAGGGCTTTTTACAAGGGCCTGTGGTGACAGGACAAGGGGTAACGGGTTTAAACTGAGAGTGGGGAGGTTTAGATTGGATATCAGGAAGGAATTCTTCCTGGAGAGGGTGGTGAGGCACTGGAACAGGTTACCCAGAGAAGCTGTGGATGCCTCCTCAAGGCCAGGCTAGATGAGGCTTTGAGCAACCCGGTCTTGGAAGGTGTCCCTGCCCATGGCAGGGGGGTTGGAACTAGATGGTCTTTAAGGTCCCTTCCAACCCAAACCATTCTGTGAAAAGACATAAAAAGAAGGCCTGAACAGTCTCTGCACAGGTCAAAATTTAGTAGGCCTGGAAGCTCACATACAAATATTTCCATATACATAACCCAAAACATTCACAAAACCACATAACCTACTGCACTGAACTTCTGTCTTTAAACAACCCGTGTGTAAAGGATTAATGTTACTGTTAGAAGCAGATGAAGGTTGGGGTTTTTTGTTATGCTGAGATCTCAATGTCCTGAAAGTTGATCTTATCCATTCCTATTGTTTGGAAGCTGGGAAAACCTATTATATAGCCCAGCACTTTGAACTTGTTACATGCATTAGTTTCCAAGAGAAACTAATTCAAGCAGAAATTACTACAGCCCTACATTCCTTAAGTTACAAGCTTAAACCAACCAGAAATTCCAGCTAGTACCTAAAGGCAGATCACGTATGTGTCAGTATTTTGTACTGACAGCAAATTGTTTCCCTACCTAGAGGGTAAGATTCTGGCTGAGATGGGAAAGGGATGACAATGACAGCACTACCACAGCCCTACACATACACACAAACCTCAGAGACCAGACACAAAAACCTACCTCATGAGATTCAAACTTTATGGAAGGAGGGCACCTTCAATCCCTCATGGTCTTAAAAATCCTTACTAAAGGTCTGCATTCTAACTAGCAAAACCCAAAATTGTTTCTGCCGGACAGACCGGCTGTCCTTCCATGATACCACAGGGATTTTGAGCATTTCAGGTTTATTGCACCACAGCTGGAACAGTAACTCCAAGTGTCCTTGAAAACTTTTAGCTCTGTATGTCACTACCTGTTTACCAGAGTCATGAAATTGGGGATCTTTAAACGTAACTCAAGATTCTTTAACTCCTCTTGGTTTTTGACTGCTGGGTTAGTAACTGAGAAGCCACCTGAATATAACTTTCTTCTGTTTGTTCCCCAATACACACAGCCACGTTCTGCCTGTTCCCAATTATTCAAGAACAAAGAGCATGACAAGATTTGAAAGCCACCAGCTAGGCGATAAGACAGTGGTGTATTCATTATCTATTGGCTAAGAAGCTGAAAACCAGTATTTATTTTAGGAATCAAGCAGGCACATTCGGCACATGCAGTCACAACAGAATACACACTGAAGCTCTGACTGCAGGAATCTCTTCCAAGAATTTCCCAAGCTAACTTGAAATAAGATTGATTTTTGTCACTCTAGAAACTTAAAAGTATCTATCTATGATGACAGCATATGAAAAAGGCAAATGATAAACAACCCTGCAGCAAAGCTATTATGCATAATTTAATCATAGAATCATAGAATCTCTAGGTTGGAAAAGACCTTAGAGATCATCCAGTCCAACCGTATCTGTCCGCCACTAAACCGTATCTCTCAGCACCTCATCCACCCATCTCTTAAACATATCCAGGGATGGTGACTCCACCACCTCCCTGGGCAGCCTGTTCCAGTGTGTGATAACCCTTTCGGTGAAGAACTTCTTCCTTACATCCAATCTAAACCTCCCCTGGCGCAGCTTGAGTCCATTCCCCCTCGTCCGATCATCTGTCATTAGGGAGAAGAGACCAACACTCACTTCTCCACAACCTCCCTTCAGGTAGTTGTAGGCAGTGATCAGGTCTCCTCTCAGCCTCCTCTTCTCAAGGCTAAACAAGCCCAGTTCCCTCAGTCGCTCAAATTTAAATTAAACAAATTTAATTCAAATTAAACAAACCAAACCGAAAACCAAACCAAAGATCTGGCTGGTTAAAGCTTTGTTTAGAAGCGCAGAGAGTGCTGAATGCGTGTTAATGCAACACACAGTGGTTCAGGACTCTCACATTTCTATCAGAGGTCATTGCTCAAGTTTGTGTGCCACACCTATAGCCAAAGAATCGAATCAAACTTGAACTCAAAACCAGTCCAGACTATTAAAATTGGACTAGATGCAATACTTCAAATCCTCTGATCAATTCAAGTCCGATCATAATCCTTCTGATGACCAGCTTATAAGGTTCAAGATAAAACGTCATGTTGCCTATCAATGACTGTTCAGCCAAGAGTGCAATTACATCCACAAGAATGTGCAAAGCTGCATCACCTCGGGGTCTCTCAGTTCTTGTAGCTTGGTGCTATATTGTGCTGTTCTTCAGAACACAGAGGGATCTATTTTGCAGTAGACTTTTTGCAGCCACCCAAGCTCAGCTTTATTTCCTGGGTAAAGTCCAGTCATAACTTTGATTCCCACTATTCCATCATAGACAACTGTGTGTTCTTATCTCTGTGAATGGTTTCACCCCAGGAAATAAGGTCAACATTCTGCACAACTCCTACTTTAAACTATTTTTATACTAACTGAAGGATATTCCGCTAGTACTTGCAATGTCAAAAGCACTGTTAGGTATAATGGTTCAGTTTCTGTTCATTTTCAAGGCATAAGCCATGTTCAGTAATTTGATGGCTGCTTCGTGTAATTAAAGTAGCACTAGCATTTCTATCCCTAATATCTTATATTGCTAACAGTAACTTTCATACTGACAAGACTCCCACTGTTCCAGCTACTCTATACCATTCACAGAGCAAGCAGATTTTTCCTCTAAGTGATCATTCAGGCAACACTAGTGTGATAAACTATTTACTTTACACCATCCATACTGACTACGATAGGAAAATTGCAGTAAAATATTAAAAAACAAGCCTATCTGTTAATGATGCCTCATTAAGAAATAGAAGAAAGAAATTCACTTGTTTTATCTAGAAGCGGCCACAGTGTTTTTAAGTTGTGAATACAAACTTCAAACAGTATCAAACAGAACATTTTTGTCTTTCAAATCACATCGCTTACCAACACACAGAGCAAGTCCCTGCTCACCTTAAGAATTTTTTCTTACAAGCAATTAATTACTGAAACTCAATTCTCAATCTGTGTTGTTAATGAGTCTTAGAGTACCATTTAGATCAATATTGACTTGATAAATCTCCATTTTCATTTGACTAACCCTCGGGTACCATTTATGTCCTCAGAGCTACAAAACTGAGCATGCAATATTTCTACTCCCTAACCTGGCATCAAAAGAACTTGCCCTACTCTCAACCACAGATGGAAACAGTACACAAATTCACCCATCAAAGCTCTTCAGCTGTGTGTGTGCCACAGAAATTACACCCTTAATTTCTGCCACCACAGTAACGTGCATATATGCGTTTCTCTTGTAGGTGAACATGAATCTCTTCTCCCAGAACCAATGGTCAATTCTGTTTTAATTAATAAAAAAGTTGGAAGATCAAAGTCATTTACAGAGGGTGTTCCTGTCAGAAAGGTCAGACTGGAGATGACTGGCAGTGGCAACGTGCTAGACAACTCACCATGGCGTACCCACCTGGGAATTCACCGTCTGGCACAAGCCCCTTGTCAAGGAGTTCCCTGGGATCCTTCCCACTGCAAGAACAGACCCTGCAGTTTTGACAATCAGAGGCTGATTTCAAAGGGAAACGGCACACTGCAACACAAGGAATTAGAAGGAGAAAGCAAACAACCTGTGCTCAGCCAGCTGGGAAGCTCAAGCACGTTGAATGCTGGTTTCAGCAAAGAGAATGGCAGCAACGTTTCAGGCACGTGCCAAAAGCCTTCTCTGAAGTCAGCCACTGCAGCAGTTCAGACACATCAACATATTTCTTCTACAAAATGCACGCCAGCCTGCAGTAAACTGAACTTTTACCCTTTCCCTAATAAAAAAGGGCCCAGAATTTCTGAAGCAGCAAGGAGGCTTGGATTATATGTCTCACAATGAAGACATTCACTAATACATAAAACTTAGTTAAAAACTTGACTAAAATTTGAAGTAGCAAAATAGTCTTCCTAATTACACGGATCATCCTGCTGAGGCTCTCTTACTTTTATTAGCCAAGGAAGGTCCTTACTAAACTCTGCTATAACCTACTGTGTTACAGTACAGAGTAAGATAAGATGTTCCGATGAAGATGTTGGGCTGCAATGACAGATACTCACTTCTGCTATTTGAGAGATAAGAGAAATTTTATCTTTTTTTTTTTTGTTGTTCTTCTGTTTTCAGGTTACTGGTTTTAGAAACTAAGATTTTATCACAGCAATATTTGAAATACCTGAAAGAGCTATAGCAAAGACTAGTCGAACTACTGATGAAGCAACTAGGCTAAATTTCAGTATGGTACTTCTTAATTAGACAATAAACACGTATCAAATGAAGCAGCATTGAAGGTGATTGGTACATGTAATTTGTAATGATTTCATCATTCACTTTCCCCCCAAAAAGGATACTCAAGATACTTTTGATGTGTGTATTTTTAAAATCAATTAATAAACCCTCTGCTCATTTCTCTTGTTGTTTTAGTGGGACTTTGTAAATGCCAACTTTTTCTAATAAATAAATTCTACAATAAGATATTGTTGGTTCCCATCTATTCCCAGGATTTCATTAGGAAACAAAAGCTAATTACGTAGCTCCTTGATACCCTATATCCACATACCTTCCTTACCAGAAAGATAATGCAGCTTTCTGCTTTACAACTGTATGCACACCAAGGGGTACAGCCATTTCAACTACACAGATAGAACTGTAGTAGTACAGCTGGTTTTTATAGATGGGGTTTAACATTTTCTCTTGTGGCACAACTGCACCACAAACCTGTGTATGTTTTTAAGTGTTTAAATGTTTTACTGCTGTTCTCCCCTCCAGCAAGGTCTTCAGGGGAAGGAGACCCTCTCTTTTCAATGACAAAAGCAAAAGTTACGTATCACCCACTTCTGGCTGCAAGTATTCAGGCAGGACTCTTTCTCAAATGTAGGCTTCAGAAAAACTGGAGACATGAAATGTCTCCCCATCTTATGATGACATTATTTTGCTGAACAGACAGCAAAATGAGGATCAGGTGGATGGCCCACAAAGCTCTTCATGAGCCCTGCCAACAGTCTGCGAGCACACATCCCCAGTTACCACCACCGTCTCCAAATCACAACATCCACACACAAAATGTGAGCAAAAAAACACCAAAAGATGCCAAAGATGATCAGCCGTGGTTTATGTCCTTCTAGACACAAACTCTTCTCAGCAAAGATAAACCATCCCCTCACAACACACCCTGGAAACAGACTTAACACCAACATGCAAATAAAAGCCTACTGTCAAAGAGAGAGGAGTGTTATCCATTTCTAAGAGTAACTACCATTTTCTTTGCATCCAACACAACTTTAAACCAGTAATACTTCATACAATTCCACTGACTTTTGTTGTGTTCGATGGAGGATACTACATCTGGAGATGTTTGCACAGATCTGCCACAGCCTACGCTTCCACTGCAGGAGATTCATAGCTGTAAGTGTATCACAGTACTTCATTAAGTCCACAAAAGAAGAAAAAAAAAATTCACAGAATATAGTGCTATTTTGCTTCTTCTGGCCAAACGTCATTTTCTCTGTGCCACTCAACAGTTTCAGACCCAAACCCTGTAGGCATGAGACATTAATTAAAGAATCACAGCTACTTACTTTTTTCTTCACAGTGGTTACAGTTTTTAAAGAAAGATCAAAAAGAAAAAAAAAACCAACACAATAACACACAGATACATGTAAGAAGTATAGGTATAATAATAAGAAAATGCTAGATAACAACTAGTCCACATGAAACAAGAAACTACCGGGAGAGAAACACTTAAACAATTCATTGTCCTTTGATACGAGGTGTGCATTAGCTTTCTATTGACTTGTCTTGCTGATAACAGAGTAGGCTGATTTGTACTCCTGCCTATCATCATTCTGGAGTGTTATTCCTGTTATACCTCCAAGTCTGTGAACCACAAGAGAACCAAATAAAGCTAAAGGAATAACTTAAAAATAAATCCCACGTCAGCAAGAGGGCACTATTAAAACCATTCAAACACTGAGTTGCGATCATTCTGCGTATACTTGCACCGACACACTTTGTTCAGTGAAGGCAGCTTCAACTTTTAAGTCTTTTAAACCAGCATCACAGAAAGTTCACCACCTTATCCAGCCACTTCCTTACTCTATAAACCCATTTGAACTGCATTAGTGGCATTGTTTTCTGCGAACACTTTTAAATGGATTTTGAATTCTTTATCTTAATTAAACACGAAGCTTGAATACCTCGATTTAGAAATGGGTGCAGGTTTATGCATGGGCTAATCATTACTGTGCTTCGTACTGACTGGAACCTACTTATAGAAACCATTTTGCCTTTGGAGAAGGCTTTCGGTGTATTTCCCAAGGACATTTGGGAAGAACAAGTTTGGTAAACTCTGTTAGTGGAGTAGTGTTAGTTATGAGAAAAGCTGCTAGACATATTCTTGAAAATGCCTGAAATGTATTTCTAATGAGAAAATTCCATTGTGCTAAAGCAGCTGTAGTAAAAATGACACGTGGAAAGATGAGGAAAAATGGAAAACCTCCCAAGGACAAGGAGACCAACAGAAGTAAAGACAGAGGCTGTGAGTACCTGGTCTAGTGGAGGGTGTCCCTGCCCGTGGCAGGGGGGTTGGAACTGGATGACCTCTAAGTCCCCTTCCAACCCATTCTGTGACTCTGTAACGACAGCACCGGCCGCCGAGCGGCAGCAAACCAACCTCCACCTCGCCTTCAAGTGCGGGCAACACGCTAAGATGGCGGGCGGAGCGCGGTGACGCGCACCCGACTC